CGAGGTGCTGGAGGTGCTAGAGTCGCTGGTCCCGGAGGTGCTCGTACTGGAGGTACTGGAGCTGCTGGAGCTGGTGGTGCTGCAGGAGTTGGAGCCGGAGGTGCTGGAGCTGCTGGTCCTGGAGTTACTTGTACTGGAGGTACTAGAGCTGCTGGAGCTGGAGGTGCTGGAGCTGGTGGTACTGCAGGCGTTGGAGCTGGAGACCCTGGAGCTGGGGGTACTGGTGCTGTCGGTGCTGGTTCTGGAGGCACTGTGCGGCCGCGACCGTACTTCGTTCCACTGCTTCAGCAGGTTCTTGGTCTCCCTCCTTCTACTGGCCTTCCTCCTCCCTTATTGTGTCCACCGCCTGACCAGTCGCAGTCGCAGTTACAGCCCGCCTCCCCACTGCCTGCTCCTTCTCCTTACACTGGGCCGACAGGAGGTCTTGCGGAGCGTCGTGAGCCTGAGTCTCGTCCTGCGTCGCCTGTTCACGCTGTACGCACTGGTCGTCGTGTTCCGCGTCCGCGTCCTCCTCCTGTCCCCGGCACGCACCAGATGGCACTCCGTCCTTCCTCTGTTCCACAGCGTGTCCCTCTGCTGTCTCCTCCTGCGTCCTCTCTTCCTGACGGACCGGACCCGGAGTCTGACTCCCTTCGTGCTGCCAGTCCTACTGTCACGCGTTTCCTCGCCACTGTTGTTACTGACCCTTCCTTTGAGTCCACTGCTGCGTCTGCTCTAGTTGCTGAGCTTGTTGACTTTGCTGCCGCCTGTCGTCTAGACTACGCCGCTAGCCTTGTTGCTGAGTCTGAGTCTGTCTGTCCTCCGTCCGTCGGGGGTGAGTGTGCTCTTGGCACGGACGTCCTTGAGGACAGACAGGAGGAGTTTGAGTGCTTTGCCGCTGCTTTACCTCATCTCGTGTCCATGCTGATTGCCCCTGAGGGAGACCCGGATGCACCAGACATCCCGACCCCGCGCTCTTACGCAGAGGCGATAGAGGGTCCCTACTCCTCTCAGTGGCAGTCAGCCATGGACGCAGAGATGGCTTCCTGGAAGTCCACAGGTACCTACGTCGACGAGGTTCCCCCGCCTGGGGCGAACATCGTCAGTGGCATGTGGATTTTCAGGGTGAAGCGGCCGCCGGGTTCTCCGCCTGTCTTCAAGGCGCGTTACGTTGCACGAGGATTCGGTCAGCGACAGCGAGTTGACTTCTTCCAGACCTTCTCGCCTACCCCGAAGATGACCACTCTTCGGGTGCTGCTGCACGTCGCCGCTCAGCGTGACTACGAGCTTCACTCTCTTGACTTCAGCACAGCCTTCCTACAGGGCAGCCTGCACGAGGAGATCTGGCTGCGCCGCCCACCTGGCTTCACTGGGTCGTTTCCTGCAGGTACTCAGTGGAGCCTCTGGCGGCCAGTCTACGGTCTCCGCCAGGCGCCTCGCGAGTGGCACGACACACTAAGGACGACGCTTGCGGCTCTTGGGTTTGCTCCTTCGACTGCTGACCCGTCGCTGTTTCTACGCACCGACACTTCTCTGCCGCCGTTCTACATCCTCGTGTACGTCAACGACTTGGTCTTTGCCACTACTGACACTGCTAGACTGGCCTTTGTGAAGTCGGAGCTGCAGAAGAGACACACGTGCACAGACCTGGGTGAGCTGCGCAGCTATCTTGGCTTGCAGATCACCCGGGACAGAGCACAGCGCACCATTACCTTGACTCAGTCACACATGGTGCAGCAGGTCCTTCAGCGCTTCCGCTTCACGTACTCCTCGCCACAGTCCACTCCTCTGCCTACCGGTCACTCGCTCTCAGCTCTGCCTTCGGATGAGTCTGTAGAGTCGAGTGGCCCGTATCCAGAGCTTGTGGGCTGCTTCGTGTACATTATGACCTGCACTCGACCTGACCTTGCTTACCCTCTTAGCATCCTGGCACGCTACGTTGCGCCCGGGAGACACCGACCAGAGCACTGGGAGGCCGCTAAGAGGGTGATGCGCTACTTGTGCAGTACGTCGGGCATGGGGCTCGTGCTTGGAGGACGGGCTCGAGTTGTCCTCACTGGTCACGCAGACGCTTCTTGGGTTGACGACTTGGCTACGCAGCGGTCGTCACAGGGTTACACCTTCAGCCTTGGCTCCGGCTCCGTTTCGTGGCGGTCTACCCGCTCGTCTTCTGTTCTCAGTTCCAGTTGTGAGGCTGAGATCTACGCAGTGGCCATGGCTGCACAGGAGTTACGCTGGCTCGCCTACCTGCTGACCGACTTGGGAGAGCCGCCTTGTTCTCCTCCAGTTCTGTACGTCGACAACAAGGCCATGATTGCCTTGTGTCAGGAGCACAGACTGGAGCACAGAACGAAGCACATTGCTCTGCGCTACTTCCTTGCTCGAGAGTTGCAGCAGCGTGGTCAGCTTCGTCTTGCTTACGTGGCCTCTCGAGCCAACACTGTTGATATCTTCACCAAGGCACTTCAGCATTGTGATCATCAGCGTTTCTGTACTGTTCTAGGCCTTGTGCCTACTTGGCCTCACTTGCTCACTTCTTGACTTTGCTTGTACTGTGATCTATGTACTTATACCTGCATGCTTACACTTGCTAGGTTGTGATCACTGTACTGCTTGTTCTCCATTATATAACTCTGCATGTGAACTGGCCTTGTGGCCATTTGCTTGTGCTCAGAATGCGTGGTGACTTCGTGATCCACCCTGAGCTTGCTTTGCTTTTCTTGACCGGTCTTGTGACCTCTTGTTCTCCCCCACTTTGCCTATGGGGGTGTGTCAAACTTATATGCTGCTTATTGTGTAGGCTATAGTGGGGTAGCCCATATGGGGTACAACCCAATTAGGGTTTCCTACTTGTACCCATCTTGCTGCTAGTTCATTCATTCTCGTTCGTACTTCTGACAGTGGCGCCTTCATGCATGACTTAACGACTGCTTACTGCGCTTTTCCTTCCATCGCGCTAAGCTCTGGAAACGTGGAACGGAGACGGTGGGGAGGTATGGGTACGAGGATGGGAGAAACAGAGGGTCGAGAGCATTAGAGGACTCTGGCGAAAGGAGGAAAATGACGACGTGCGAGCCGAAATGGATGCTATGACGGGAGAAATCTTATCTGTTTCTAGGGTTCCGAAGATTAAAACGTCGTGCTCGCAGGCACTTGGCTCTGAGCTCCATACAACGTCGTGCTCGCAGGCACTTGGCTCTGAGCTCCGCAACAGGCGCCGGATACGCCAAGCGATCGGAGATTTGGAGTTGTGGGTCTTACTCGAGAGAATGTGATGGCTTTGAAACCTTAAAGAAGCGAGAGCGAGCGGTAAGAGACGAGAAGAAAAGATACCGCAACGAGGGAGAGGAGGAATTCTATTCCTATGACTGATACTAACTGCTACGCGGATTCGATAATATTATTCGCGCTATTGATATCTAGTAGCGCCCAGCGACTCGTAGATTCTACTAATCTAATACGGCCAGACACTGGAACTGCAGCAATCGAGTATTCTGATAGTAGTTTCAGCCTCATGTGACGACGGGCGTACAAAGCTGGCGAACAGGCATCTAGAGGGGTAACAGATGAACGACAATTTTGGTTCTTTTTGCAATGTGAACAGTGTTTGAACCTGCAACAAGAACTGAAGTCCTCAGGCATCGAAACTGGAGTCACCCCAATTCGTAACTTGATCAAGGTTTCAAGGCCGTGCTTGGGCAAGTGAGAACGACACAAGGCTTGCTTGTTTGGCATTTCGCTTCGCGGAACCAGCGGTTTGGCGAAAATATATTCCTCCTCGAAAAACAGGTGGTAACTGATGCGAAACGCAACTGGCTGCGGTCTGGAAGCGAACGCATGTGTCAAACTCGAAATTCAAGTGCTTGAAATGATGTGAAATTCCTTCTCTCCTCCCTACTCCAACTATTTATGCTTACTACTAGTGTGGTGACTCGCCACCCATGATAGTACTCACGATCGACCTTGGCTGGTAGGCTCAGGACGTGTCACCTCCCTCGATCGATCGTGCAAAATCGAGGAAGATCGATCGTCCACCGCACTAAAATCTCGCGTGCTGCATTTAAAGCCCGCGTCTCAAATTGCGGGCCGCGAGGGTCAAGTTTTTAAAACTTGACGAAGTTGAGTGTCCAAGCTTTTGAAAGTCACGCACTTGCAATTTGGGACTTTCGAAGACAGATTCACTCACAAGGGGGAAAACCGAGGGTTGGCTGGGTCTCGCGAAAAAAACGAACCTAGACGAAATCGGAAACTCTCGCCAAAGCCCACACCAGAAAAACTCCCTCTGGTCAACTTTTAAAAGCATGAACAATTTGGGCCGCCGGCTTTAAATTTGTTTGGAAACCTTTTTGAACCGAATCAAAAATCGATCCTCCGCAGGATCGATCGAGGCAGGTGACGCGTCCTCAGAGATCGCTTTACTCTCATGATTGCATCACTCACACGCACGAAAACTTCTCGTTACAAAGAAATCACGATAGTGCAATGCTTTTCGGTAGCGTTTTTGCTAGCTGACGTAACGCTGGTTACCAACTTGATCGTTCGCGGAGCACGTTCGATTGAGCAGCTGTAACGCGTCCTTAGCAGACAATCCCTTGGCCGCGCATTGCCAAATCCATAAGTGAAACGGAAACGGAAACGTGAGATCCGCTAGCCTAGACGTCACCAAAAAGCTTATAGATCAGACACCTAGAATGGAGCCTCTGGGTCCACCCAAGCCGTCGAGGCCATGTGATCTGGCTAGCCGGCGCGTGGAGAAACCAGGTGATGAGCACCAGCGGAACGAGCATCCCCGTTACGAACATCCGCGTTACGAACATCCTCGTTACGAGCATCCAGGTCCATCGGCCAGCAGCAGCAGCAGCACGCGAAAATCATCAGCGTCATTGAACAGTCTGCCTGACGAGATTCTATCCAGGATTCTCTTCCTCGCAGCAACCACCGACAACTCTCAAGTCGCCGCTGCCACGAGCGACGGTGAGCCCATCGTCGAGTCCGATGTCAGCCCGTGCCATGGCTTGGGAATGGTGTCGAAGCGATGGGCCTCGCTGCTGCCCATCGTGCGCATCAGCGCTCCTGCCGACTCTCCACCGCGTCGAGAGGACTATTACCGTCACGACGACTCGCCGCTTCCCGTCCCCACGCTCTCCGCGCCCGCGCTCCTCCGCACTCTGTCCCGCGCGCCGAGCGTGACTTCTCTCACGCTGGGCGATGGCGCCGTTGATTTCTACGACCACGACTTTCTTACCTCGCTGCTCGCCGCCTGTCCCAAGCTCACCTGCTTGAGCCTCGGCGAGCCTCGTTTCACCGCCGCACCGCCGCCCTTCACCATCAGCCTCGCGTCGCTCGACTCATTCTTCCGCGCTGCAGCGCCGCAGTTACAGGAGCTCGCGCTGCTGCTTCCTATCGAGGCCCCGAAGCTTCCTGATTCCATCACATCGCTGTCGTCGCTGCGCGTGCTTCGCCTCCGCTCCATCAAGATCCAACACCTCCCGGACGGACTGTGCCATCTGCCCGCGCTCCAGGAACTGCAGTTCAGCTGTTCGATGCTGTGGACTGTGCCCGAGGACTTCGGGCAGCTGAAAGCTTTGACTCACCTCTCCATCGTCGACAGCATGAACAGCGCGCGCAGCCTGCCCGATTCTCTGGGCGACCTCTCGTCGCTCACCTCGCTCTGCATAACCTTCTCGTGCGGGCGACTCCCGGATAGCATCACCGCGCTGCAGCAGCTGCGGCGCCTGGAGCTGCGACGCTACGACAGCTGCGACTGGCCAGACGGGTGCGAAGCGTGGACGAGGCTGGAAGAGGTTTCGCTCGAGAAATGCAGCGTGCGCTCTTTCCCGCCTGCGTGGTTGAAAACCCTAAAGCGCCTCACTGTTCGCTCCTGCGATAATTTGAAGTCTCTCCCCATAGACGACGTCGTTCGGGACTCACCGCTGCGCCACTTGACTTTCGAGGGACGCCTGTACCCTTTACCGCTCCACCCTCTCAGTCAACTGACGTCCCTCCAACGACTCAAGGTCTCGGTTATTGATCTTTTCCGTCGCTTCACTACTGGGGATGAGGCATTTCCCGTGGGCTTGTTCGCGTTGCCGTCGCTGGCGCACGTGAGCGTGGACAGGGTGGCGTGGGTGGAGCAGGGCAACGCGCCCAAAGGGTCTCTGCTGGCCTATCTGCCTCTAGCCCTCGCTTCGGCAACCGCCGCCGCTGCCGATGCCTCGGCCGCCGCCGCTGCTGCAGCTGCCGCTCCTCCTGCTGCTGCTGCTCTTGCTGCTGAAGCTGCTAGTGTTGGTGCTGCTTTTGCCACTGCTGCTGCCGCTGCCGCTGCAGCCGCCACCGCCGCCGCCACCGCCGCTGCTCAAGCCGGGTGCTCGCCTCTCGGCCCTTCGTTGCAGCACCTAGAAATGAGCTTAAGTGAAAAGTGCCCGCAAGTGCCCGTCCACCTCTGGTCCCTCTGCTCGCTCACGCACCTCTCCATCACCGATCTCAAGCCTAGAAGTTTCGTGCTGGCCGCCTTTGACCGCCTCATCAACCTCCGCTCTCTCCCTCTCCGGCTGCTTCCTCCGCCTCCCAGACTCTCTCTCTCTCCTCGCCCCATCCCTCCAGTCCTTATCATTGGAGTACGACTCTTCTTCCACCGCCAGCAGCAGCAGCAGAAGGACCAGCAACAGCAGCGGCAGCGGCAGCGGCAGCAGCGGCAGCGAAAGCAGGAGGTTAGAAGATAAGCGCCTCACACTGCCCTCCTGCATCTCGCACCTCACCTCCCTCACTGAGCTTCACCTCACAGACGTTTTCATCCCCTCTGCGCTTCCTCACCTGCTCTCACTCCGCAAGTTACGCATCACGAAGAGCGCCCACCTTCCACACTCTGAGCCCTTCATTCCCGAGAGCATCGGCGAGCTGGCAGTGCTGGAGACGCTCGAGCTGAAAGGGCGTGTTTCGGATAAGGAAGCTTCGCCATATACGAGCATGTTATCCAGGATAAATAGAGTAGAAGAGAGGCCGCCTGAAAGGTGCAATCACTTGGAGCATCTACCACGAGAGTTTGGATCCCTTGGGGCACTATCGAGGGTGACTATTGAGGGGTCGTTTTCCTCTCTTCCAGACACTCTTGGCGGCCTGACCTCCCTGCAAGAAGCATTTCTGAAGTCTCCAGTCCTTGCCAGCCTGCCTCCCTCCTTCTGCCTCCTCTCTCACCTCCACACACTCACCATCACCAGCAGCAACTGTCTTGTCACCCTGCCCGCTGATTTCGGCTCCCTAGGCGCCCTCCAACGCCTCTCCATCCACTCTTGCTCTCGCGTGCACAGCCTTCCCGACTCCTTCTCCTCGCTTGCCTCCCTCGTCCACCTCGCCATCACAAACTGTCCCAAGCTTTCCACCCTCCCTCATGGCTTTGGCTCGCTGAGCCGACTGGCCCGGCTGACCATCACCTACTGTGACTCCTTCACTCACCTGCCCGCCTCCTTCCCCTGCCTGCCGTCCCTCCGTGTGGCCAGCTTCAGCTGCTGCCCGCGCCTGCAGTCCCTGCCTGCAGGCATGGGCCTGCTGCCGCGCCTGGAGGTGCTGCATCTGCGCGGATGTGCGTCGCTCACGAATCTGCCGCAGTCGCTCAGGCAGGCCAGGGCGCTCAGGCATGTCGATGTGACTGACAGTGGGGTAGCTGAGGAGGGGGGTCGGGAGGATTGGTGTGGAACAGGAGTATATATTGAATGGGGGCGCCCCGGCAGACTCCCCACGATGTGGCGATTGTTGAGGTAGAATATGTCACATTTCAGTAGCTCGATACCTACGGTAATGCTTATCATCAGGGGTATTCAGTAATGCAGCCTATAGCAGGGGTAATGTACACTATTGAAACAGGTTCCAACAAGGAGTATGGAGTGTGGAGAGTAGCGCAGCAGAACAATATCCCAACCTAAAAGCATTTTGTCATCCTAAATCACAAAATCTCTGTTCCTACAAAAGCATGGGGCAGATTAGTGGTACAGTCAAGGCCCTATATGTCAGCCTTTTCACGCTGATCCAGCGTGAGATCAGGCTTAGGCTGAGCTGAACCTAAAGTTTTTTGTTACCGTATGTACCTTGGCTGATTTTTCAGTGTTTTTTTTTTTTTTTTTTTTTTTTTTTTTTTTTCCTTTTTGTAGGAGTGTAGGCTGTGCACTCATCCTTGTATAGGGGGTGCACACTGAAACCGGCTTACAGGGATTTCTGCCAGCCTGGCGAAGTGAAGGACTAACACCATCAATCACGGGCGGGAAATCAAATTTTCCCCAGCGCGGCACCGCACAGTCGAATTGGTTCAGCAAAGCTGTAATCGACTGCAATTCCGACCAATCGGGGTTGCGCAGCAGGCGGCGTTGGCAAGATTCGTTGCCAACGCATGGCTCGCAGCGCGCTGCGCCCACGACACCACAAACATCCACCCCACCCCACCTTCCCTGCAAACACGACCACGTGAGGTGCATGCATGGACCACCAGGGAGATGAGAGGTCCTGTTATAAGGACCCCTTCCACGCTGCCTCATCCCCACCGTTCCGGCCAGTCCCTCTATCGCTTGCCTCTCTCGGTTCAGTTCAGTGCCCTCCCCTCAAACTACTGCCTGAACCCTTGTTTCAGACTGCTTCTCCCGACCTCGCAAAACATATCAGAAATAACGCGTGAGAATGATGGACTAGAAGCATGAGATGAGTACAAGTACTAGGTCTAACCCTAAAGTGTTGTACTCAGTAGAGGCTACCCCACTACAGCCTAGAGACATACAAACATAGTTTGACACACCCCCATAGGCAAAGTGGGGGATAGCAAGAACAACCTACGGTCACAAGACCAGTCAAGCAAGAGAACAAGGCAAAGCAAAGCTCAGGGTGGACCTCAAGATCACCACGCAATCTGAGCACAAGCAAGCGGCCATAAGGCCAGTTCACATGCAGAGTTATAAAAACACAAGCAGTACAGTAATCACAACCTAGCAAGAGCAAGCATGCATGTATATATATAAAGATCACAGTACAAGACAAAGTCAAGCAGTAAGCAAGTGAGGCAGAGTAGGCACAAGGCCTAGAGCAGTGCAGAAACGCTGATGATCACCAGACCCAAGGGCCTTGGTGAACACATCAGCAGTGTTGGCCCGAGAGGCCACGTAAGCAAGGCGAAGCTGACCACGCTGCTGCAACTCTCGAGCTAGAAAGTAACGAAGAGCAATGTGCTTCGTTCTGTGCTCCAGTCTCTGCTCCCGACACAAGGCAATCATGGCCTTGTTGTCGATGTACAGAACTGGAGGAGAATGAGGCCGCTCACCCAAGTTGGTAAACAGGTAGGTCAGCCAGCGTAACTCCTGAACAGCCATAGCCCTAGCGTAGATCTCGGCCTCACAGCTGGAACCAAGCGCAGAAGACGAACAAGTGGACCTCCACAAAACAGAGCCAGAGCCGAGGCTGAAAGAGTAACCTTGTGACGACCGCTGAGTCGCCTAGTCGTCGGCCCAAGAAGCGTCGGAGTGTCTTGTGAGTACCACTGGACCCCGTCCTCCAAGCACGAGCCCCATGCGCGATGTACCGGACAAGTAACGCAGTACCCTCTACGCAGCTGTCCAGTGCTCCTTCCTGTGTCGCCCGGCCGCGACGAAGCGAGCAAGGATGCTGAGAGGGTACGCGAGGTCAGGTCGTGTGCACGTCATCAGGTACATGAGGCAGCCAACAAGCTCTGAATACGGGCCACTCGGCTCGACGGACTCGTCCGAAGGTGGAGCTGAGAGCGAGTGGCCTGTAGGCAGAGGAGTAGGCTGTGGCGAGGAGAACCGAAAGCCGAAGCGCTGAAGGACCTGCTGCACTATGTGTGACTGAGTCAGAGTGATGGTGCTCCTTGCTCTGTCCCGGGTGATCTGCAAGCCAAGATAGCTGCGTAGCTCACCCAGGTCAATGCAAGTGAGTCTCTTTTGCAGCTCAGCCTTCACAAGGGTCAGCGCCTCTGTGTCGGCAGTAGCAAAGACCAAGTCGTCGACGTACACAAGGATGTAGAACGGCGGCAGAGAAGGGTCAGTACACAGATTCAGTGACGGGTCAGCAGTCGAAGGAGCAAACCCAAGAGCCGCAAGTGTCATCCTCAGTGTGTCGTGCCACTCGCGGGGCGCCTAGCGGAGACCGTAGACTGGCCGCCGGAGGCTCCACTGGGTACCAGCAGGAAACGACCCAGTGAAGCCAGGTGGACGGCGCAGCCATATCTCCTCGTGAAGGCTGCCCTGCAAGAAAGCTGTGGAGAAGTCGAGGGAGTGCAGCTCGTAGTCACGCTGTACTGCAACGTGCAGTAACACCTGAAGAGTAGTCACCTTCGGGGTGGGGAGAAGGTATGGAAGAAGTCGACCCCCTATCACTGTCTGAAGCCTCGAGCAACGTAACGCGCCTTGAAGGCAGGCGGAGAACCCGGCGGCCGCCTCACTCTGAAAATCCACATGCCATCGACTATGTTCACCCTAGGCAGGGGAACCTCATCGACGTAGGTGCGTGTGGACTTCCAGGAAGCCATGTCTGCGTCCATGGCTGTCTGCCACTGAAAGAAGTACTCACCCGTGATCGCCTCTGCGTAAGAGCGCGGGGTAGGGATTTCTGGTGCATCTGGGTCTCCCTCGGGGCAAAGCAGCATGGACGCGAGACGAGGTAAAACGGCCGCGAGACACTCAAGCTCAAACTGCCTGTCCTCAAGGACGTCACTGCCAAGGGCAAGCTCACCCCCGACGGACGGAGGACAGGCAGACTCAGACTCAGTTGTCAAACATTATATACGTTACTGCTATGTAGGCTACAGTGGGTTAGCCTTTAGGGGGTACAATACTCTAGGGTTTCCTACTTGTACTCTCAATGTTCCTAATTCAATCACTTCTCATTTCTGACATGGTATTACGAGCCTAGGTTAGGAACCTAGGACCACTTACCTAAGGGCCCACCGTTCCGCTAGAAGCGCCCTCGAGCGCCCTATCGACTTAGCGCCCTTGAGCGCCTCTCTCCTAGTGCGCCCTCGTGCGCCTCTCCTTCTCCTGCTGCCCGTGCGCAGCTCGCTAGTGCCGTGCGCGGCCTTTTTTTTAGCGCGCGTAGCCCGTTAGCAGCCCGCGCGCGGCCTTTTCTGCGCGCGCGCCGACCGTTAGCCGCCCGCACGACCAGCGCCGCCCACGAGCAGCCCACTAGCCGCCCGTCGACCGGCCCTCCTGGCCGTCCAGAGCGTCGCAGCCCCGCCCGTAGGCCGCCGCGTCGCCCTTGTAGGCCGCCGCCCGCGCGCGACTGCAGCCCACGCACAGCCGCGGCCCGCCCGCTACAGCCGCCCACGCGCAGGCCCACCGTCGCGCCGTGCCGCGTAGCCTAGTCCGAGCCGCGCCGCGCCGCCCCGCCCGAGCCGCGCCGCCCGAACCGAGCCGCGCCGCCCGAACCGAGCCGCGCCGCCCTGACCGAGCCGCGCCGCCCTACTGTGCCCCACCTGCAGCACCTGCTGTTCTGTTGCTACTACTGCTACTACTGCTACTGCTACTGCTACTGCTGCTACTGCCACTATGGCCAGTCCTACCGTTCTCACTTTTGACTCTGAGGGCCGTCCGATTAAGTTTGACGTTTGGCTCGATGACCTGCACCTGTTCCTCCATATCACTGCTAAGGACGATGTTTCCCTGTTTGACCACACGTCCGGCTTAGCTCTCGCACCTGCTGCTACCGCTGACAGTACAGCTCGCTCACAGTGGCAGACCCGTGACGCTCACGCTCGCCTAGCCGTTCGCAGCCACCTGCCGTTAGATGAGCGCGAGCACTTTGGCCAGCATAAGACCGCTAAGGAGCTGTACGATGCTGTAGTTGTGCGCTACTCCTCCCCTGCTACTGCTCCGATAGGCCGTCTCTCACTGCCCTATCTCTTCCCCGATCTGTCCGCCTTTGCCACTGTAGCTGACCTTATCACTCACCTCCGTACTAGTGATCTCCGCTACCGTGCCGCGCTTCCTCCTGATTTCCTCGCCAAGAACTCTCCCCTGATGTACCTCACACTCTACCACCTAGTCACTCGCCTCCCTGACTCTCTTCGCGCTGTCAGGGACCACTTTCTCGCCCTCTCTCCCACTGACCTCACTGTCGACCTGCTCGAGAAGGAGCTCCTTGCAGCTGAGAAGAGTATTGTAGCTGTAGGTGCCTCTCGTGGCGGCCCTCGCACTCCCTTCTTTGAGGGGTGTTCCCCCGTCCCCCTTCTCCCCTCCATTGCATCTGCTGCTGCTGTCGACTACCTCGGTGCTGAGGAGGTCGAGGCTGCGTCTGCTCCTAGTTGGAGGCGCAAGGGCGGCAAGGACAAGGGAGGCAAGGGTGGCGGAGGTGGAGGCGGGGGCGGCGGTAGTGGAGGGGGTGGAGGAGGCGGGGGTGGTGGCGGTGGTGGGAGTGGTGCTGGTGGGGGGGGGGGCAGTGGTGGAGGCGGGGGTGGTGGCGGCGGCGGTAGTGGGGGTGGCGGGGGTGGTGGTGGTAGTGGTGGCGGCGGTGGAGCTGGTGGCGGGCGCGGTGGAGCGGTGCAGCGTGGAGGGGTCGGTGGTGGCCAGAGGCAGCAGCAGCAGCGTCCCAGCGAGACCCCGTCCCCCCAGCAGCTCCGTGAGTGGTACTCTCAGCGTGGGGGGTCTGGGGGTGGAGGTACTTGCCCGTACCTTATCCGCACATGTGACCGCACTGGCCAGACCTGTGGGAGGTTCCACACGGCGCACCGCTGCTTCTTTCGTCTCGACGATGCCTGGCGTGCACAGTTT